TGTCTATAGATCCCTCAATGGAGATGAAAGGGACTCCTTAAAATTTACTGGACCAGTCTCCTTGGACATCAAACCAGGCAGAGAGTGCTCAAAAGAAAGCAAAAAGGAGACCCACGCTCCACATAGTGTAAACCAGGTAAGACATTTAATAAAAGATTAAAAAATTTGCACTTACAAGTGCTTTTAAAATACATCCAAAGGTCCAGCTTACAAACTGCGATGGTGTCACATGCTTGGGCTCACACTGACACATTTTGTCAAAAATGATGTTCTCTGTGAAAGACTGTTTGCTAAGCCTGGACTGAGCAGTTACTCTTCTGAGCGATTCATACAGTCAGCCCATTTCAGTGGCATTGTGAGTGAACTGTTCTTTTCATTTCTCACAGTGGATTTTTGTTCTGGGTCTGGCAGAAGATATTTGTTTCTGAAGTTTAGTGAAGAGTGTCCTCCTGTTTGTACATAGTTCTGGAGTATCCCGTACAATTCCCTATCCAAGTTACCCCTCCCCCCCCAAAAAAAAAGATACCCCTAGATTGTTCACTGAGCCAATTGGAGTGACTGTTGCTGTGTGCCTGGCTGCATATGCACTACTTGGGAAACAACCTGGGCAATATACCAGCAGCTCCTTTGGGGGTGAGCGCTACATATTACATTTTTGTTCTCACATTTTGTTGTTCTATAAATCTCTCTGTAGCAGAGACATGCAATTGCCTTGAAGCCCCAGGCTATCTCTTTGCTACCTCCCGAGAGAGTTTTGATCTTACAGCTCATTTTAACTGTTTCCCTCTGTTGCTGTGCTATGTGTCAATTGTTGTCTGAAAGCCACAAAGCTAGAATGACAATCTCACTCCGCGCAATGTACAACGATGGGAGTTAAAAATGGTACTTTCTCAGCGATCTGTGTTCTAAATACAACAGTACATAAAATTCTGGAAGAGAACAGTATATGCTGCTCTGAAAATGCACTTAAAGAGATTATTCCCCAGAGGTTAGAGCTTCTCTTGTCCCTTAAAAATACCCTAAATAGGCCTTGAAGCTAGTTTCTGAGAAATAGAGCATAAATGGAACTATTTGAAAGAAATGTACTGAGGAATGCTGCAAAAAGATGTCCTAGATACATATAATTCCAATAGCAGGAGAGAGGAAAATAGTGAGATATCTTGTAGTTGGATTGCTGAAGACCTTAAAGAAGAACTCCGGGCATTTTTTTTATCTTCGATGCAGTGGGGCTGTGCCCAGACTTCATGGGTTAACCGCTAATTTTTGCTAGGGAATTTCAGAGCAGAGATATACAGTACTTACCTAATCTACCGAATCTCTGAGCGCCAGTCCCCACCGCTCCTGCCATCCACACGCTAGCAGTCTTGTAAATGGACTCTTCCTGACGTTATCATGCCCATAGACCATTTCTGGACATGAGGAAAGTAGGAACAGTCCACCGCTGGACGTGGGGGAGCGCGGTTTTCCAGAAGATCAAACAATTTGTAAGTCTCGCCTTTTGGTGCTCCCCTTGATAAAACGAGCATTTAACCCATGCAGTGTGGGCACAGCCCCACTGCATGGGAGAAAAAAAAATTAATGGAGTTATGCTTTAAGTAAAAGCAGTTTCTAAAAGTATTTTGAACAGAAATTTTTCATGATTACATACAGTGTGTGTTTAAAGATAAGAGTGCCCTTTTATAAGTTGGAATTGATGCTAAAAGGCTTTTAATATTTGACAGGAATTGTCCTAGAATATGATTGGTGATGAGAAGCATAACTTGGATTAATCACAAAGGCATCAGAGGCAGGAGCCTAAGACCCTAAAGCAGTGCCTCCTCAATCACTCCTTCATCCTCTCAACTTGAGATGCCTTGGCCCAGGCTTGACAAATTTGCTTAAAATCTAGGAGTCAGCTAAAAATGTTAGGAGCCAGGATTTTTAGCGCAGTCCAGGTTCTCAGCGGGGCTTCACGTGATGCGATTTGCCACGTGACAATCATGGCAAAACCACACCACATTTTAGGCGGCATTGAATATAATGGCACCTACCTGAACCTGCGTTTTGCGATCACAGCAACTCTGCTATCCCAAAATGACCACCAAGCCTGAAGAATTATTTACTTCCACTGATGCCAGAACATTTACTACTCCCACTGGCCACATTCTGGTCCCCCAGAGGTCTGAAGGACAGGGCACTTCCCCTTTGTTTAGACAGTTAGGAGACCCCGCATTAGAAACTTCAATGAACATTCCAAACGCTTTTTTACCAATCCTGCAGGTGTGCAGCCAGCTTTACATCATAGGGTCCAATCAATCAGTAGCCAGCAACGCACATCGTTTCATATTGACCAGTACTGTGGAAAGATAATTTTGGAGATTTGCCCAAGCAAGGAATTTGGTCAGAATGGGGACACTGAAAGCGGCAGCAGGTATATGTAGGAAGCTCTTCCTATCTGTACTTAAAGGGCATTTTAGGTTGCTTGGTGTGCTTACTCTATTTCCCTCCTGAAATGAGATACAGTCAGGTCCATAAATATTGGGACATCGACACAATTCTAACATTTTTGGCTCTATACACCACCACAATGGATTTGAAATGAAACGAACAAGATGTGCTTTAACTGCAGACTGTCAGCTTTAATTTGAGGGTATTTACATCCAAATCAGGTGAACGGTGTAGGAATTACAACAGTTTGCATATGTGCCTCCCACTTGTTAAGGGACCATAAGTAATGGGACAACTGGCTTCTCAGTTGTTCCATGGCCAGGTGTGTGTTATTCCCTCATTATCCCAATTACAATGAGCAGATAAAAGGTCCAGAATTAATTTCAAGTGTGCTATTTGCATTTGGAATCTGTTGCTGTCAACTCTCAAGATGAGATCCAAAGAGCTGTCACTATCAGTGAAGCAAGCCATCATTAGGCTGAAAAAACAAAACAAACCCATCAGAGAGATAACAAAAACATTAGGCGTGGCCAAAACAACTGTTTGGAACATTCTTAAAAAGAAGGAACGCACCGTGTGAGCTCAGCAACACCAAAAGACCCGGAAGACCACGGAAAACAACTGTGGTGGATGACTGAAGAATTCTTTCCCTGGTGAAGAAAACACCCTTCACAACAGTTGGCCAGATCAAGAACTCTCTCCAGGTGGTAGGTGTATGTGTGTCAAAGTCAACAATCGAGAGAAGACTTCACCAGAGTGAATACAGAGGGTTCACCACAAGATGGAAACCATTGGTGAGCCTCAAAAACAGGAAGGCCAGATTAGAATTTGCCAAACGACATCTGAAAAAGCCTTCACAGTTCTGGAACAACATCCTATGGACAGATGAGACCAAGATCAACTTGTACCAGAGTGATGGGAAGAGAAGAGTATGGAGAAGGAAAGGAACTGCTCATGATCCTAAGCATACCACCTCATCAGTGAAGCATGGTGGTGGTAGTGTCATGGCGTGGGCATGTATGGCTGCCAATGGAACTGGTTCTCTTGTATTTATTGATGATGTGACTGCTGACAAAAGCAGCAGGATGAATTCTGAAGTGTTTCGGGCAATATTATCTGCTCATATTCAGCCAAATGCTTCACAACTCATTGGACGCCGCTTCACAGTGCAGATGGACAATGACCCAAAGCATACTGCAAAAGCAACCAAAGAGTTTTTTAAGGGAAAGAAGTGGAATGTTAGGCAATGGCCAAGTCAATCACCTGACCTGAATCCGATTGAGCATGCATTTCACTTGCTGAAGACAAAACTGAAGGGAAAATGCCCCAAGAACAAGCAGGAACTGAAGACAGTTGCAGTAGAGGCCTGGCAGAGCATCACCAGGGATGAAACCCAGCGTCTGGTGATGTCTATGCGTTCCACACTTCAGGCTGTAATTGACTGCAAAGGATTTGCAACCAAGTATTAAAAAGTGAAAGTTTGATTTATGATTATTATTCTGTCCCATTACTTTTGGTCTCTTAACAAGTGGGAGGCACATATACAAACTGTTGTAATTCCTACACCGTTCACCTGATTTGGATGTAAATTCCCTCAAATTAAAGCTGACAGTCTGCAGTTAAAGCACATCTTGTTCGTTTCATTTCAAATCCATTGTGGTGGTGTATAGAGCCAAAAATGTTAGAATTGTGTCGATGTCCCAATATTTATGGACCTGACTGTATTCACTGATGAAGCAGTAAAACACAACCATTTTGTAGAACTGCAAAGCAGGAAGGTGAGCCTGCTTATGTGATGAGCAAACATGGCTGCCCTCAATACATATACATAAATAAAAACTATAAACAGTTTTTTTTTTACATTTCCACATATTTGTTTTTATAATAAATGGACTTTTAGCATACCCTAATGCTGTTAACATTATTGAAAAAAAATTAAAGTAGATTTAAAGGCAAATGTGCAAAACCAAGGAGGGCATCCTGTGCCTATCTAAGAATTGTACTGTTTATAAAATTATTAAATGTAATGCTCAAAATATTTTTTTGGAATCTTTAACCACTAGCCTACAAGGCACTTATTTACCCCCTTCCTGCCCAGGCCAGTTTTCAGCTTTCAGTGCTGTCGCAATTGCGCAGTCATGCAACACTGTACTCATATGAAATTTTTATCATTTTTTAGAGACAGATAGAGCTTTCTTTTGGTGGTATTTAATCACCTCTGGGTTTTCTATTTTTTGCTAAAAAAACCCCAAAAACAACAGAAAATTTTGAAAAAAAAGTTTTTTTCTTAGTTTTTGTTATAACATTTTGTAAATAAGTGATTTTCCTCCTTCACTGATGTGCGCTAATGAGGGTGCACTGATGGGCACTGATAGACTGCACTGATGGGCACTGATGAGGAGGCACTAGTAGGTGGCACTGATGGGCATTGACAGGCATCACTGATGGGCACTGAAAGGCAGCACTCATATATGGCACTGATAGGCGGCACTTATAGGTGGCACTGATAGGTGGCACCGACTGGCACTGATAGGTGGCACTGACTGGCACTGTTATGCGGCACTGATAAGCAGCACTGATGGCACTGATAGGCAGCACTGATGCCCACTGATAGGCGGCACTGACTGGCACTGATAGGTGGTGCTGATTGGCACTGATAAGCGGCACTGATTGGTAGCACTGATAGGTGGCACTGACTGGCACTGATAGGTGACACTGAAAGGCAGCTCAGATGGGCACTGATATGTGGCGCTGATGTGCACTGGTAGGCACTGATGTGGCATTGATGAGGCACTGACAGGTGGCGCTGCTGGGGCTACACGGATCATCAGGGCACACTGATCATCAGTGCCTTGATGATCAGTGTACATGTCCCCTCCGAGGAAAGCGTGACAGCTCGTGAGGAGAGAAATACCGATAACCGGCATTTCCCTATTTAAATGCGATCAGCTGTGATTGGACACAGCTGATCACATGACCACATCTTTTGCTCTTTCCATTGATCGATGATCCGCTGTGTCCACAGCGCACCATCGATCGCAGCGCTGCACGTTTCTGGAGCCGCGCACACATGGTTAGAGTGGGGGAGGACGTCATATGACGTCTTTCTGCCTTTAGTTTTGTCTTCAGATTTTTTTCCTCCAGTCAAAATCTTGCTCTTGTCAGGCCTCTTGCCTCCGTATTTTCGCTACCATCCGTTACTGACCTTTGACTTGTTCCTCGACTATGCTTTTGCTTGATCCCAACCTGCAACCACTAATTACCGATCTTTGGCTTGTTTACTGACTACGCTTTTGCTTACACCTACCTGCTATATCTGCTACTAGACCCTGTCTTGCTCACCTCCTGGAAGGGCCATTCTGAGGTCCGTGACCTGGTACTAACACACAACAAAACCCATCTCCACCATCAGGAGCTCTGGTACAGCCCCTGTGCTTCTGGGACCACAGACATTGCATGGTCCCCTGTGGCTGTAGTTACTTCTTAGCCTACAGTCACATTGCCTGTAATGTCAATATGCTAAAGGAATGCTATAGCATTACCAGTAAGATGAACTCAGTAAAGTCACACACTCATGACACTACTGGCATCTCAGTTTATTTAGCCATTGTCAGTAAATGACATAACCCTGCCTGAAGGCAAGTCCTTTTACAGCATTTCACCTAGAAGGACCTAGTCCTAGAGACCCTATGATTAATCCCTTCCAGGTGAAACACGTTATAGAGGAGTGGCCTTCAGATGGGGTTATGTTGCTTGCTGGCTCTGGCTCTAGCTAAATAAACTGAGATGTCAGTGGTGTCATGAGAGTGCGACCTTTCTGTTTTCTGTGGATCATAGACAGGCTCCTGGGATGATCTCTTGGCGTCTGCAGTGAGGTGAATTTGAAAGATATCTTGAGCGGTGGTTTTTTCTGAGATCTAACACCAGGAAAATGTTTTATACAGCTGGATGAAGAAACCCTTTCAGGAAGTTCATTTCTAGCCAAAGCTTTTTTTATAGTTTCAGTTTTAGTAGGGAAAAGTTAGAACCTATCTCTGGTTTTTTTCCATCTCACAGGGGCAGAATGAAGGAGAAAACTAGAATTTTATATTCACTGGAATATAAACTGAGGGTTTTTTTTTCCAAAGGAGACACCCCTGTTCAATAACAACTAAGAGAGGATTTCCTTCACTTTTGCAGAGATTACTTCTCACTTCCTGTTAAATCTCCAGAACAGAAAATTAAGAGAAATCTCATTAATGGGAAGCAGACAGCCTAAAGTGTTTCAACAATTTCCTACTCTATCCAAAATAAAAACAAAATTTTATATAATATATATATATATTTATTTATATTTATATTATTTATATATACACTTTACTTGCATATAACCAATTCTGGGATGATGTGCACAGGACTATAAAGCTGTTAGTGGACTGTCAGCTCTGGTCTGCATTATATGAAGGATCTGGACAGTCTAAAAGCCCAGTTAATAATTTATACCCACCCTGATTAAAAACACTAATGTGCGGATGTTATTTCTGAGAAGTCAGTCTCCATATCACCATTAGTTGTGCTTATCATGTAATACTGTCAATACCTTTAATACCTTGATTGTCTCCAATCTATCTGTAAATGTGTTGTAACTGAAAAGTAAGCACTTATGTATGAAGGGAAAATAATGCTGTTATATGGTAATGTGTTGGTGACAAGATATCTGCTGAACAAGCTTTCACTAATATGGGTCTATCATACAGATGAATATTATAGCCAGAACTGAATTAATAGCAGGATCAAGTTTAACTACTTCAATACTGGGCACTATCACCCCTTTCCTTCCCAGGCCGATTTTCATCTTTTAGTGTTGTCGCACTTCAAATGAAAATAACACAGTCATGCAACACTACTCATATGAAATTTTTATCATTTTTGAGACGGATAGAGCTTTTTCTGGTGGTATTCAATTACCACTTGTTTTTTTTATTTTTTGCTTAACCAACGAAAAAAGCCAAAAATGTTGAAAAAAGTATTTTTTTAGTTTCTGTTATAACATTTTACAAATAAGTAATTTTTCTTCTTCACTGATGTGCGCTGATGAGGCTGCACTGATGGCCATTGATTGGCTGCACTGATGAGAACTGATGGGCACTAATGAGGAGGCACTATTGAAGCTGTACTGATGATCAGTGCCCTGATTATCAGTGTAAACTATGTACTGCCAGCCTTGACGGTTATCAGCTGTCCTTTTTCTCACACTATATTGCCAAAAGTATTGGGCCGCCCTCTAAATCATTGGATTCAGGTGTTCCAATCACCTCCATGGCCACAGGTGTAAAAACTCAAGCACCTAGGCATGCAGACTGCTTCTACAAACATTTGTGAAAGAATGGGTCGCTCTCAGGAGCTCAGTGAATTCAAGCGTAGTACCGTGATAGGTTGCCACCTGTGCAATAAGTCAATCTATGAAATTTCCTTGCTACTAAATATTCCACGGTCAACTGTTAGTGGTAATATAACAAAGTGGAAGCAACTGGGAACAACAGCAACTCAGCCCCAAAGTGATAGGCCACGTAAAATGACAGAGCAGGGTCAGCGCATGCCGAAGTGCACAGTGTGCAGAAGTCGCCAACTGTCTGCAGAGTCAATAGCTAAAGACCTCCAAACTTCATGTGGCCTTCAGATTAGCACAACAGCAGTGTGTAGAAAGCTTCATGGAATGGGTTTCCATGGCTGAGCAGCTGCATCCAAGCCTTACATCACTACATCACAGTGCAATGCAGTGTCGGATGCAGTGGTGTAAAGCACACCACCACTGGACTCTAGAGCAGTGGAGACGTGTTCTCTGGAGTGACCAATCAAGCTTTTCTGTCTGGCAATCCAATGGAGATGTCTGGGTTTGGCGGTTGCCAGGAGAACGGTACTTGCCTGACTGCATTGTGCCAAGTGTAAAGTTTGGTGGAGGGGGGATTATGGTGTGAGGTTGTTTTTCAGAGGTTGGGCTTGTCCCCTTAATTCCAGTGAAGGAAACTCTTAAGGTGTCGGCATACCAAGACATTTTAGACAATTTCATGCTCCCAACCTTGTGGGAACAGTTTGGGGATGGCCCCTTCCTGTTCCAACATGACTGCCCACCAGCACACAAAGACAGGTCCATAAAGACATGGATGAGCAAGTTTGGGGTGGAGGAACTTGATTGGCCTGCCCCAACCCAACAGAACGCCTTTAAGATGAACTAGAGCGGAGACTGCGAGCCAGGCCTTTTCGTCCGGCATGGTCAAACATTCCCATAGATACACTCCTAATCCTTGTGGACAGCCTTCCCAGAAGAGTTGAAGCTGTTATAGCTGCAAAGGGTGGGCCAACTCAAAATTTAACCCTACGGACTAGGACTGCGATACCATTAAAGTTCATGTGCGTGTAAAGACAGGCATCCCAATACTTTTGGCAATGTAGTGTATATCTCTTTTTTTTAGTTTTGGATAAAGTTGGGAAGGGTTACATCTTCTGTCAAGTTTTAATTGCTGTCTGTTTCCAATGTGGGGAATGCACCCGTCTATTCGAAACTGAGAGTATATCTTACATTTTAGATTTGTTCCCAGAACAAGAGGTAGGGGGAAATCTTCCAATGGGGACACATGTTTCGGGGAGGTAATTCCCCTCACTTTTGGAGATTTTCTCTAACTTCCTGTTATGTCTCTGGGACAGGAAGTGAATTGATATTTCCCAATGGTACACCGATAACAAAAATAAACTGGCAGGGGTTTTAGCCCTTCTTCACTCTTCGCAAAATAAAAATCAAAGTTTTTGCCATATATACACTTTAAAGATACTAGGCAGATATTTTTATACAGTTATGGATTCATTCATGTTTTTATTACAATTTGCATAATTCTAGATTAGTATTTAGATTGAATTATTCTAATCCCATACATAGCAGGATTTAGGACTCATGTACACGGGGCGCTTGGAAAACTCTACTGACCATTGGAAACTGACTGCTAGAAAATGTAGGTTAAAAAACATCAGTTTAGCTGCGTTTCCATACCACGTTTATGCCAGTTTGCGTTTAGAAGCATTTTTAAAAGATAACCTCAGGAGACCCTCCCAAATGTCCAGAATGCACTGAAAAATAGTAAATAATTAACTATTTCAGACATTTTGAGAGGAATAGAGAGAGCAGAAGCAGAGAGAGCAATATGTTTTGAGATGACCTGTCTTTTCTGGTTGTATTCACTATGGATCCCATCATGAACATAATGTGGCACGTTCTACCATTTTTCCTTCACGCGAAACCTGGAACTGATTGCACTGCTGTACTAGGTTCATTTGAATATATGGAAAACGCTTTGCATGCATTTTTGATGAAGAAAAAAGGCTCTGGACAGCATCTGGATATGGATCTGTCACAAAACACATCTAAACGCAAACACTTGTAAATGCGGTTAACCAAGTTTACAAGTGTTTACACATGTTTACAAGAGTTTGGCATTTGAAATGCCGGTAAAATCTACTCCTTAACGCAATTTTGGTGCGTTTAAAAAAGACAAACTGTAAACTCAACTGCCTGTAAATGACTATGTGTACATGGACACATAGGAAAACATAAAGGAGAGTTCAGGGGCTGCTGAAAAAAAATGCTCAGCAGCTCCTGAACGTCAGTTTAGCAGCTACAGTGTACACTTGCATTATTATCCCATTTCAGCTTAAAGTTCTAAATTCAAAACATTACCTTAATGCATTCCCTACATTAGGGTAAAAAAAAAAAACACACTACCTATTCTACTCCCCCCCCCCCCATTTCTACCTTACCTGACACCTCTCACCATTCCAGCACTGTCCCAGCTGCAACACTGCTCCTCCACTTCCTGATCTCACAGGAGATCTTAGGGCAGTGGGGCCATAGGCTCCTGCTGCTGGCAAACTCCTGTGAGGAGGGAGCTGGGGCACTGTGTGTGTTTATGAATGCACACGGCCCGGCTCAGGAGCAAGTGCATGGGTGCCCCTTTAGCACCTGGCTTGCTATGGAGGCACCTGGAGCAGGGAGAAGCAGACAGCTCTGGCAGGGGACTGCCAAAGATGAGATAAGAGACCTCTCTGTGCAATATCATTGTACAGAGCAG